GCTCCAGCAGGTCCATGTCTCTCCTGTGCCGAGGGCTCCAGAGCTGGACGCAGCACTGCAGGGGGGTCTCCCCAGAGCGGGGCAGAGGGGCAGAACCCCCTCCCTTGCCCTGCTGGCCACGCGGCTTTGGGTGTAGCCCAGGACATGGTTGACTTTCCAGGCTGTGAGTGCACGTTGCCGGCTCGTGTCCAGCTTTTTACCCACCAGTACCCCCAGGTCCTTCTCAGCAGGGCTGCTCTCCATCCCTTCCCCCCCAGCCTGTGCTGATATCAGGGGTTGCCCCGACCCAGGGGCAGGACCCTGCACTTGGCCTTGTTGAACCTCATGAGGTTCACACGGGCCTGTTCCTTGAGCATGTCCAGGTCCCTTGGGATGGCATCCCGTCCCTCAGGTGTGTCAAATGTACCACTCAGCTTGGTGTCATCTGTAAACTTGCTGAGGGTGCACTCGATCCCCACTGTCTGTGTCACTGATGAAGATATTAAAAGAGTACTCATCCCAGTATGGACCCCGAGGGACACCACTCGTCACCGATCTCCATCTGGACATTGAGCCATTGACTACCACCCTCTGGGTGTGACCATCCAACCAGTTCTTCATCCATCCAACAGTCCACCCATCAAATCTGTATCTCTCCAATTTTGAAAGGAGGATGTTGTGGAGGACTGTGTCAAAGGCCTTACAGAAGTCCAGATGGATGGCATCGGTAGCTCTGTCCTCAGGTGTGACTGTGGTGCCACTTGCCCCATGTGGAGTTTGGGACATGGGGGACAGTATTTGACCATGAGAAGCCAAGATGCTTCTTGGCAAGATGGATACTACCAGGAAAGGCGTGTTTACCTCCAGTTCTTCACTGAAGGTCTCAGAGTAGGGAATATACTTATTGTCCTTGTCTCCCTTGTAAAACCAGGTGCAGCGACGCACTTCAGATACCTCCTCCTCCCAGTACACTGCGACACGCTGCCTCTTCTTCAGATGCACGTCGTACCTACCCCCTGATGTTGGGACAACCAGGTCTTCTTTGTCTCTCCCTGCAGGAACCAAGGCCTGAAATTAATCGCGAAGGGAGCCGAAAGGCACGCTACCAGAAAGCTGTATGCCACGCCAGATCAGAGGTGTGAGACTGGAGCATCTTTCGTGGGCAGCACACACGAGCGTGTAAAAGCAACAGCAGTAGACACCAGTGTTCTCTGTCCTCAGGCATAGAGAACAGCATCGTCAGGCATCCTAGGAGAGGTGCCCCAAGTCAAACTTACCCCAGAGGCAGAAGGCAAGATGAAGGCATTAAGCTACAACCGTCTTCCTCTCTAGTTCAGGCGCAGGTTTACATGGACTCTTCCTGCCTCACTTAAAAGGTAAAATGTGAATTTGTGGCCCTGGGAAGTGCATTGCTTAATGGTGGAGGTGCAGGTCTCTAAGCCATTCTCCTCTAAAATGGAGAACTCCCCATAGATCCCAGTACGGACTTAAAATTCTGTTAGTTCAGCTGCCTTTTGGGTCTGCCTGCTGGCCAGGCTGCCGGCAGAGCACCCCGTGCGAGGCTGTGCTCGGCTCGGCTGCGGCACTGAGGACCCGGGGCGCACGGCCTCTAATCCAAAGCTTCCTTGGAGAGGGAGGGCGGGAGCAACCCTTGGGCGATCGGTGCTCTGCCCGCAGCCGCCGGCACCAGCGGTGCTTTAAGCACAGTCCTGGCGGCGGGTTGTACAGGTGGGTGGTACTCGGCAGCACGAGGGTCATCGCAAGCGGCGCTGCTCAGAGCAGACCCCGCCGTCTGGGCAGCAGCCTCCAGGAGCAGGTAGGCAGGCAGAGCACCATGCGTCCACACGGGAGAAACGTCCCCAGCGGAGTTTCTGCCACCCTGCTAGCACTCTCCCATCCACACCAGAAAGGTGCTGTGCAGTATGATTATATATAATTTACAGCATGTATCAAATCGATGAGCTCAGACCAGTCAATGCATCCAAACAGCTTAGTTATTCATGGGTTTGCAGCTCTGGGACTAGGCCCATTGCCAAAAAAAGTCCCAATTTAAAATTCCCGAGGGAAAATTTTGCATCCCGGATGGAAGCCATGGCTGTGTTCAGGGTATTTCCCTCCGATACCCGGACGGTGTTTCCCTTGAGCACACACCTGATGCTCTCCCACTGACCTTACCAGGCCAGTTCCTTATAGCGATTTTAAGAGCAGGGACCGGGTATTTAAAATCAAAGGGCAATTTAAAAATAGAAATTATAGGAGCCGAAGGCAAGCAGTGCTGTGGAATCCCCCAGCCCGGTTCCCGAGGGGGTAGCCCCTGCCCGCGCCCGTTTTCACCCTACCTGAGCCGTGGGCCTCTTCCAGGCGCCCCGAGTCCTGCGTGCTGAAGGGGATCCACCGCTCCCTGGAGTCCGTGACCTTGCAGTAAAACCAGTGGGGA